AAACTTTGCCATACAGATATGGACTATGGTAAGTTTGTGTTTAGAGATTTCTCGGCAAAACAGAATATAAAAAACATCGTTTATTTTGCAATTTAATCAATTTCTTGGCGATGAAAAATCGCACTCGCCAAACGGGCGAGTGATCTGTGATTTGCACTCGCCCGACACTTTTGACACTCGCCTGGGCGAGCAGGCGAGCGCTAATGTCCAACCCTGCTATTGGATATCGACAAATGCATCAACGAATGTTGAGTGATCATGGTGTTGTGACTGATCGAGAAACAGTTAGGCGTATCATTAAGGGTCTGGATCCACAGGGTGTTGAAATGCGATCGAAGAGACGGTTTAGGAGAAGGAGGTATGTAGCTTCGGGTCCTAACTTTATATGGCATCTTGATGGGTACGATAAATTAAAACCGTACGGGTTCTGCATTCACGGTGCCATAGATGGTTACAGTCGACGCATATTATGGGTTGAAGTTGGCCCTACAAATAATGACCCAATGATCACTGTTCAATTCTTCATTGACTGTGTATGGCAGTTAAGTGGGCTTCCACGAGTAGTCCGAGGCGATTGTGGAACTGAAAACATACACATTGCTGCAGTTCAGCGGTTCATGAGGAGAAATCATGGGGATAACATGGCTGGCGAAAAAAGCTTTCTCTATGGAAAATCGGTGGCAAACCAAAGGATTGAAGCTTGGTGGAGATTTTTAAGGAAGAGTATCACCGACTGGTGGATGCGATTTTTTAAAGATTTGACAGACGAGGGTCACTTCGATAACAGCAGCATTATCCATGTGCAATGCTTGAGGTTTTGCTTTATGGGCTTAATTCGAGAGGAACTGTATAAGGTTGCAAAGAACTGGAACTTACACAAGATACGGCCTTCTAATACAGACAAACCACATGGAAGGCCTGATACACTTTTTTTTCTCCCAGAGGAGGCGGGAGCTACGGATTTCAAAAAGGACGCTGACGTGAATGATCTGGAGGTAGCAAAGAACTCAGTATGTGGCGAGCGATGTCATCCTCTTGGTTGTTCACTAGCATTCGTATCATTAGCAGAACTCATTATGGAGGATAACGACTTACATCTACCACAAGACCCAGACGAGGCAAAGTCGCTATACTTAGACCTGCTTTATCATATCGACAACTTGTAAATCACCAATCTCTCTGAGGGAAAGATGCAACAAAATGACTGACAAGTGATGTGCACAACATTTCAAGTTTTTCCGCTGGTAATTTCGTTTTCGTTACCAAAAAATACCGCGTCCAGATGTGAAACTCGCTGTAGAAGAACTAGACAAGATCAGCACTAAGAACACGGTACAACTGGTAGATTCAGTAATTATTAAGTAGTTCCATCATAATGTTACTTGAGTATTAAGAATGTTGTTCAGTTGTGAAAGCACGATTGTATAATAGTTTAATGTTTCAACACCAACTGGTCACTCGGTAGCTGCTATGATTATTCCCTGTCTGCTACAACGCAAATGAAAAATATAGAAATTAATTGCCACTGACAAACGAGAGAGAGCTTTATCCTCTCTTGCTCATCCTCAGTCTTCCCTTGTTGCACTGATTTTTCCCTGTTACACGTTAACACTCCGGCCCTTAATTTTTGTACCGTTTTTGTTTTAGATAACTATGAAAATGAGCACTTTATTCTGATAAGAGAAAGGCCTTGATGTAAGTAGAACATTTATTCAGAAATAATATTATATTAACGTCAAGATTGTCGGTAAATAGGACCCGCTAGGGCATTAGAGTTCGAACAATGTCTTGCCCCTCTTCGGCTAAAAATTTGCGTTATCACTATGCCTGTACAGGTAGCCCCGTTCCCTGGCCAAAAAATCTCTGGGGACAAGGTTGCTGTCCAGCAAGGGGAAGGCTTTAAGAATGAGAACTTTACCTCTCGAGCCGTTCACGGAAAATATAAGCATTACATAGGTTCATTTGAAATTTTTGTAGGGTCTTCATCTTGAAAACGTTTTTTTTAAAAAAACTATTTAATAATCATTAAGAAGACATATTTCACAGTGTACTAAATAAACTCAACCAGCCACAAACAATGCTAAAAATTGATCAGCCAAAACAAGGGAGTCTGACTTTGGTAACTTCTAACGAGTCGGTTTCTTAGTTGACTGAGTCGATTTCATTACACAAAAAGGAGTTGGGTAGTTTTAGGTTGTAGGCCCTTTAGAATAATGTATGACACCAGGACATGGGTTATATTCGTAACCCTTTTGAAACGTTTAAAAAGAATACTGTAAAATCCCACGGTAAAGCCCTGGGCTTATACATACAAGGTCATAAGGGGTTTTGGGTGGGCTTATATCTGGGGGGCATAAAAGCGAAAAAAAAAAAAGGCTGTGAGCGACGACATAAAACGTATCTGAGAAACGAATTAAAGCAAACATACCATTACAGTTAGAGTAACATTAATAAATTTATTGCGCGTCACAATAAACGGAGAATGTATTTTAGCCAGCTTTTTGCTCTCTTGCTCCAAAAGATTGTAAATGAACAGTGGAACAGAACTCCGTTATATATGCATGAACATTTGTTTCTTTCTTTGGTATCAATATAATTATATTGTTCTAAACTCCAAAGCCAGTTGTTTATGCCTATAACTTTAGATATTAAAAAATTTTGATGTCTGTAGAGAAACGCACCTATACATTACATGGGCTTATATACAGGGGGCTCATATCCGGAATAATATCTTCCTCAGCAAATGGATGGTCTTATATCCAAGGGGCTTAAAACCGGGGGTGGGGCTTTAACGTGGGATTTTACGGTATCGTAACACGTGAAACCCCAAGTTAACCTCGTTCCCAGGGCCTCTAATTCCCGTCATTTCACTCGCCCGAAAAAGAGAAAAAATGATCCTGGGAACAAGGTTACCCTAAAGTGTCACCAGAACAAAAAATATTTGAGACGAGTAATATCAACGTTTCTTTATTAACATGTCAATCTTGAGAGACAACTGCAAGAAATCACGAAAATGTGCCATCAACTCACCATACGGGGCTGTCATTAGGGACCGGGGGCCGGGAATTTTCTTCGCCAATTATGAACATGACCCCTGCCTTCCTCTGGTTCTATTATTTTTCTTACATTTTCCTGCAAACAAAATCCCTAGTCCTTGGATTCCCCCGTCTACTTGTGTTATTAGCCCGGCCACTTGAAATTTTAATGACAGCCCTGATGTCTCATATTAACTGTGATCATCGGCTATCTAAAATGAAGCAATTGTTCAAAAGTAAAATAATAATAATACTAATAATAAGGCTGATGTGAAATTTAAATGAGCTTGTGATTTTATCATTAAGTAACAACTTAACATCTGTCACATGAACAGTAGTAAATGAAAGTGAATGTTTTGCCTGGAAGCAAAAATCTTAACACAAACATCTTAACCAGGAGATGGGCTCCTATCTTAACACATGAAGAAATCACAAAAATGTGCAATCAACTCACTTAACTGTGATCAGCTATCTAAAATGGAGCAATTACTCAAAAGTTGAAAACAAATCAATAAGAGGCTGATGTGAAATGCTGCTTGAAAGCAGTTTCCTCAATTTAAGCCGTCTTTTACATCTGTCTCATGAACAGTAACAAGAGAAATTGAATGTTCTGCCTGGAAGCAGAAATCTTAACACGAACATCTTAACGCAAACGTCTTCGCGTCTCACAATGTGAAAAAAGAAAAAGAAAAAAACTGGAGACGACACAAATGCTAGTCAATTAACTAAAAATAAAAAAACGGAATAATTGCATTTTTAACGAAAAAGTCTGCTTTTACAGGACTGTGTCATTTAAACTGGCTTGCAAGCACCATACTCTTGAAAAGTCCGTCCTTGGGAAGACCATCCCGGCTGCTAATCATTCAGGTCCCAGATGTTACAATCTCGAAGATAAAAGTCCAAGTTGTTTCGCATTTGTGAATATGATTGGTAGTTTCTGGGCAGAATTAATCTGCGGAAGCAGGTGTATGCTTTGGGGCGAATCGCCACGGGAGCCATGACTTCTGTATGCACTGCAATGCTGTGATCAGGAATTAACACATCCGAAGCTGTACAGAAGCGGAGAAGTTTGGCAAGCATTTGGTGGCTAGACCCTTTGAGGTAGCGTTCCAGCCATCTAAAAATTTGTGCTTCTTTAGCGTTTTCTGGAGTTAATGCCAAATTAGCCATGATGCGGGCTGCTGTTGGTCTGGACATTTCGTACAGTGATGCAATTGCTTCTTTGCTCACGTTTGACCACAGATCACCCATTCCTTGGCGCAAGCTGGTCAAACACATGAAGGGCTTCGTCACAAACTCGGCAGTTCCCACAAAAATATGGATGGATCGTATGTTGTCTGCAGTGGGTAACTGGCACAAGTTGTAATCATCCAGCAAGTCGATAATTTCTTCTCTTGGAAACGGCCCTACACAATCGAGCGCTCTACTTAAACAGTCCTTCTCGTTAGGTGGTAGGAGCGCAAGAAATGACTCTACAATGCACTGGTCCGTGGCAGTCCCAAGAACGGCGTGTTGCATTGATGCCTGTGACAATTTGACTGGGAAGACACCGCATAGTATAAATTGGTGCGTCAAAATTCTCCCGATGCTTACATAGTCTTCCTGGCTTAGATCTGGAAGAAGAGGAAGTGTGTGTTTGCTATCTCCGTCACTTTGGGACAAAAATGTGTCCCAGAATGACGAGTAAACTTCTCTCAAAACGCCATCTCCTGTGGCTTTGGATCCCTCGATAACTGCTGCAACTTTCCTCTGAAGGATGCTGGGGTCTTTGTACACGGAAATAAGATCCCTTACAATGTTTTCCCTGCTGACGATAATGGCAACTGTCTCTTTCAGGGAATCCAGTGCCTCTTCTCGCTTCTTTTGTAGCTTGGCGTAGTTTTCCTTGACAATTTCCTCTTTATGTTCCGCATCTAAGACATCATCAGGAATTGGAAAATGCGAGGGCTGACTTGGGGAATATAAGCTAGAAACATCAAAGGCAGTCCCAGGTTCGCTAGGAAAATAATAGGTGCAAAGTTTTAAAGAGGATCGACAAGATATCATTATTTATACACCAAATAAGTCCACTTGGATGCCTTTTATAATTCGCTATATCTGTGGATGCTCTACTTATTCCAAATATTATCTCTGTTTTATTCTTTCAATGGCTGATTCACTGTTTTGGTTATGTCGCTGATTTAATCCATCATTTGCTTGCTTGCTCAAGCACTTACTATCTCACTCACTCCTGGAAACATGAAAATCAGATTAGCACGGCGTATTTAATAGAGAACGACAATTAGAGAATTCTGAAATACGACTTAACTAGGTATGGTAAAAAGTGTTACGAGTCTCAAAATCTTTCTTCCAATAATCGAAAAAACATTATGTCCCAAGTTCAAACATCATTCTCGCTAAGACTCGTAGTAGAGTGACGAAGGGTACCACGTTTTCCCGCCAAAATGACGCTGGTTAACGGGCGAGTATTACTTAGGATATACGTGAGAGATCAGTGAGGAATCGATAGCTTTTTAAACTGAATAGTCTTACCCGTATTTATGAAGAAAAAATTTACATGCTTGTTAGTGGACTACAAAGATTACCTCAGATCCTCGTCCTGTAGAAGTTGGTGGGGTACCTCGTCTGTAACTGCTTCGATTGAGATGTCTCCCACAGCCCCAAAACCTTTGAAGTTTACTTCTGGAGAAGTGAACGACATTGGCAGTGGTTGCTCTAAAGTTTCTACGTAAATTACAACACTATGGAAATCCACGGCTTTGTCTTGCGGAGATATTGTAATAGCCGGTTGTACATGCAGGCTGAAATGTTCAGGATGGAGGTCCAAAGAACCTACCCAGTCATATATCGCTAGCATTCTCTCTTCGTCTGAAAAGAAGCGACTTACCCTCCCCTGAAAAGGGTGTTGTACGACAATGAGAACCTGTGCTGTGCTGTGCTGAACTGGAACTCTGGCTTCTCTTGCGCGACGAACTTCTTCTAATCTTGACGTCTCGGTGATTTCATCCTCTAAAGCCTTTCTCTTCAAGAAATAAATTGCAAGGGATTCTTCATATTCCTTGTCTTGCTCAGCTTTTAGCCTCCTCTCATCATCAAGTCGGGAAGTAAACCAACAGGACGAATCCCTGTCTTGTGTTGTGGAGGTAGCAATGGAAGAAGCTGTGGATGCTGAAGAGGCAGCTGGGGGAGAACCGCTGGACGCTGCAGAGGCAGCTGTGGAAGAAGAAGTGGAAGCTGCAGAGGAAGATGGAGAAGAAGCTGTGGAGGATGCGATGGAAAAATGTGTGGAAGCGGCACTATCTGAATGGGCACTCTTACTCGCAGGTTGCAGACTTTGGCGCCATTGTTTTCCTTTGTCCACCAGGTCTTCTCTATCAGATGCGCTGAAAGGACTTGTCATAAGCTCTCCATCGTCAGAATCGTCATCAACAAGTGGTCTACAGGCAATATATAATTGAACTTTTGACAGCTTGTAAAACTCAAAATACCTCTGCACAGTGAAAGGCAATGCTCCACCATTCCTCTCCTTGAGGGTATTTATTACTTCTCCTTTAAAATTTACGAGCTCAAGAATCATGTCCGACTCTGCTCCAAGAGGACAGACACCATTTTGGAAAAACAATACTTTTCCTTCTTTAATCAGTTCCTCTTTGGTCATAGACAAAGGTACATCTATTAAGCCAGTGCCACCTCCTTTTGAGCAGCGTACACTGACATACTTATTTCTCTTCTTGCTATACTGCATTAGTCCCAAAGATATTCGTCTGGTTTTGCTCATTTTTTTTCCTGCAGTTGATTTGTCATCGACCCTTGAAAACTTCTTGCCTCGGCTTTCTTTTTCTTTGACGATTTCTTGAAGAAGTTGTCTCTTCCTGGTCTCCCGCTCCAGATCATCATCAGTGGATTTCTTCTTTGTCTGGCACATGGCTTTTAAGGTATAGAGATCGCCCTTTCTTGTTAAACCCATGTCAATAATAACTTTTTCAGGTGTGTGTTCTACTGCCACAAAGTCCATCTGTAGATGAAGCGCGAATACGGAATATTAATTTTAGCCTAGTAATTAGCACCACGTATAATTTATGAGTCTCTGACAAAGGGAATTTACACCTACAGTTACCATATCGGTGGCATTTAACTTGTCAGTGATGAAGGCAAACTCCATTCTTAGCTTAAACCAGACTTTCCTTTAGCACCCCTTAATAACTAGGGCTAGCAAACAAAGAAAATCCTGAGTGAAACTAGGTGGAAGTCTGGTTTACACCGAGAGAGGGGTTTACATACAAAATCAATGACTCGTTCAGCGTTTAATATCTATTTTATTTCAATTGACGTTGCATTTGCAACATCAATGCATTAATTTGTGTAGGGAAATAAAATTATGAAATTGTTTACAAACCATGACTGGTCATTGCTTATGATTTACCAGAGTACAGACACACAGCTAACGTCACAAAAAAACCGTTTTTCTTTGTATTGTCCAACATGGGGCACAGTGTTAAACATATGTGAGATTACTTTTTTCAAACTGGGCAAGTGAAGACGTCGAAAAATGATTAGCAGGAGTCGCATGTTTAAAAAAATAGGCAAATGGGATTAAAGGTATTCTAATGGCAACTTGCCCAATACCTTAACAGAACTAGACTGCAAAAAGTCTCTTATTTTTCTTTTGAGGTATAGTAGATCATAAGCACGCAGAGGGGCGAGCAACAAAGCCGCAAGCAACGAGAGCGGAAGCCTGAGCAAAGAAACATTTTTTCTCCCTCCACCCCAATCTAAAAATGTGCATAGCTTTACTTGCTATGCTTGCTGCGAGTAGCTCTGAAGAAAGAAGGACAACCACTCACTCATGGTTTAAACTAGATCATTCTTTTGAAAAGCCAAGGACGATGACAAAGTTTTGCCAGCAGCTCACTGGCCACATTTTTATTCTTACCAAATTCATCATCTATAACTACACACATGGCAAAAAGGGATCCATTTAGTCAAAATTACACTATACCTTGAGTCTAATAGTGTATGATTAAAAGCTTTAACTGAGAACTTTCTGAATGTCAAAAGAGAAAGGATTCTAGATTTTAAGAAAATTACCTTGCATGTCACTTAAATCAATTCCACTACTCACCCTGAATAATGAGATTTCAAAGACAACAACAAAACATACTTGCCCCTTGCGTTTTTCTTTCCATATTGGTATCTTCAAAGCTGTTCGAGGGACTATTTTGTTTCTATGGGAGGGGAGGGGAACTACTCAAATATAAAATGGACAGGGTTCTGGCTTTCTGGTCAAAATTATAGGTTAGGCTATTTTGGTACTTTTTAGGGTTTTTTCTTGAGAGTCACTCCCCCCAAACCAAGAATTTTAGGTTCAATTTTTCCACGTTAAACAAAGTCCAGTCCGAAATTGACATCTGAAATAACCATTAATTTTTTTTCAAACTTAGCTTTACTAATCCATCCATCCATTCTGGAATTTTTTCCAGTCAGAGTTTAAGCACATCCTATCCATCCTAGAAATTGTGCCGATTTCGAACATCCTTGCCCATTTCTGCTGAAGCAAAAAGCACCCTTTTCAGGTAGGGCCTGTCATGGTAATCAATTTGATCCTCAAATTTTACAGGCCTGTCCATTTTAAAAAATTCTCCAACTCTCAAAGAAAAGACCATTCCTGGATTTAGTGGTAAGTGGAGTTAATTTCATGCAGCACATGGATTTTCAGAACCTAGGCATTTTCTAGGGTGCATAGGACCTTGTACTTTGGTTCAAGAAATTTTAGGGGAGCTAGCTAGCTTTGAGTTAAGCTTGTTTTAGGGACGGTTCATAATTTATGGGTTTGGGGGCTATGAGGATCTTATTTTTTTCTTAAATATTTATTCTAGCCCCCCTGGTGGTGTAAGATTCTTTTCTGCTCCCCTCCCACCCCCTCATGAGAGCTTGCAGACATAGGTAAAATACCATGACCCCCTCCCCCTACCACGTGTGCTTTAAATCACTTTGAATTGCTGATACAAACAACATTTAGGCCTCAACAATGAAGTCTTTTTTAGAACTTTAACTCAATATTGCATAAAATAACCTTGCACAATAGATTATTTAGATGACTTTATTAATTTTTATTTTTTATTAATGCTTTGTTACACAGAAAGTACAGAATATTTACATATTTAAATGAAAAAGAAAAAGATTACATGATGAAAACATTAAATATTCAAATATTATGACTTAATTATATAACATCTGAATGGAATAAAGACAGTGGACAGTTTAAGTTTTAAAGCTTTGCAAAAGAATTATAGTATATTATTTGGATGTTTCCTCTTGTTTTTCTAGTATTTTATAACCAGCCCCTTCCCCCACCAGTACAGTGGCACTTTTCGACTCTGAAATCATACCCTTCAATATTCACTTAACTTTTACTACAGAATCAAAACGAATTATGGCCCTTCTGCCTACCTAGATCTAACAAGAAAGAACCCTTCTAGGAAAACATTAGTGAAACTGAGAGGAAGCAGTCAAAAACTTAGGATTGAGGGGGGTCATGGTAAGTTTCAAGTTGCCCCCCTCCCTTATACAGAGTACCAATTGACAACTCCAGAAAATACCCTAACATACCATAATGCTATTTTTTTTTGTCACTCCAAAATTTTGCATAAGAATTGTCTTTGGTTTCTCTTGGAAGTTAAAAATGGCCTCAAGAGAAACTAGGTAAACGCTAGTTTCCATATCTCAAACCGCCCTTGGATACCTTGTGATGCCTACACAAAGTTATTGCATATACGAGTGAGCTCTGACTATAGTGACTAGGGTTAAGCACTAACAATACTGATTAGGGTTAAGCACTGAAAATACTGATTAGGGTTAAGCACTCACCATACTGATTAGGGTTAAGCACTGAAAATACTGATTAGGGTTAACGGTTAGCTTTTATTTAGGGTTAGGGCTTTCGCTACAGTAGTTAAATTACTCCCACTCCCCGCAGCGAGTCCTCGGTGGTCTAGTGGTTAGGGCATATGACAACTGATTTAGCACTCCAGGATCGATTCCCGCTCTTTACTCGAAATTTTTTTTTCCTTTAAAATTGAAGAGACTTGCACTTTGACGACATTTGTTGAGCAGAAACTAAGTCTCTGAGTCAAGAAACTTAGAAATTTCATGTAAGTGTAAGTGAAAAGGGAGAGGGCGATCGCGAGATATAACTGGAGATCGCGAGTTATAACTGGCGATGGCAAGTTATAACTGGCAATAGCGAGTTGTAAGTCGCGATCGCTAGTTATAAGTGGCGATCGCGAGATATAACTAGAGATCGTGAGTTATAACTGGCGATGGTAAGCTATAACTTTGATCGCGAGTTAAAAGTGGCAATAGCGAGTTGTAAGTCGCGATCGCTAGTTATAAGTGGCGATCGCGAGTAATAAGTAGCTATCGCGACTCGTAAGTGGCGATCGCGAGTTGTAAGTTGCGATCAC